TTCACGGTAAATATTAATTATTGGCTGATGATCTGAAATTATATACGACTATAAAAACAACAATCGATGATTGTATTAAACACAGCTTCATATTGGTACATTTTATAAATGATTCTAAAAAACGACTTATAATTAAACGCTTATAAATGTTCACAAATAACCATTTACTATAAACACATACCTATAAAATTCAGATATAAAATTGCAAATTAGAATATGAAGTAATAGATGATATAATACGATATCTTGGAATAAATTTTACATCTAATTTATCTTTCAAATCGCACATTGAGTAAATATGTGCTAAAGAAAGGAGGAACTTGGAATTTATAAAACTTAATATTTCTTTATATGACCTCCTTATATATTAAAACACTTTGTTACTCGTTATTAGGTTCACTTTTAGAGTTTGGCTCTACACTTAAAATAACCTAAAAAAAAAAGAAATTGTTCATATACTAAACACTAAGGTATTTAACAGCCAAAAATGTTAATATACATATGTGTACACACGTTAAAAACGAATAATTAATACCACTAAGGCTTTTAGACTAGTCTAAAATTATACCTTAAGACAATAAATTATATTATTTTCGGATCGACATGAAAACACTTGATTATATTGACGGTAAATTGTGCGGTAACCCTTTTTCGCACTCGACCTTCCCCTAAGCACGGCTACACACATGTATTGTATGTGTGTAAACTTCCGTGATGGGAAACAACAAACGTCGGCTCAGTTGGTTTATTATTAAATTGCAATCGTCGACAGTGATGAGAGTAGAGTAGGATGATGTGCTCGTGCACGTGTGTGTACATATCCTCTTCTGTTTTGTCTGCTATACCTTTCGACGTAAAATAATTTTCTCACCCCGTACAAAGAGGTACTTTCCTCCCCGATCTTAATACGAAAAATCCACTGCATGGTAACACCTTTGACGTTATAAAAACGACGAATTGAAAAACTACACGAAAAAGCTCATAGCCATTTTACAATATCAATATTTGAAAAAAAAAAAAACAGGCGGTGTGGCCCCATAGTGAATAATAATTATTATGAAAATGTCATAGTGTGGTGGGCGGAATGGGTAATAAACAAACTGAATTCCACCGATAGTTATAACTCCTCTCCTCCCTTTTGCCGCTCCCAGAGCTAGTTTTATACGCGAGAGACATAAATCGTGTAATCGGTCTCAGGTGATATGAATCCTTAACGGCCGGACCCTAAGCCTAGAAGGCCGACAACACTGGTGACCCCCTACAAATATATATAGTAGTAGCATTATTGATAGCATCATTAATGTACACGAATATATAGAAAATTTATGCGCAAAGAAAAATTTTTCCCTTCAAACTTCATAAACTTTTTGCTTTGCCCATAGAACACCCTTTCTATAGACTCGTTTCCGACTTGGTGATAAACCAAAGAACAGCGGGTCGAGATTCAATGTGTATCTGAGCGTTGCATACACACTGACGTACCGCTCGACGTATCTAATGATACGACAGAGTGACAGCGCCATTATCCCTAAGTATACCCCTTACCCCCATGCCGTTATCATCGCACAGCAACCGCTGCCGTCGACGGGGTTGGTTCATTAGTTCAACGTTACTGACACTACCATAGCGATTTTCCTGGGCACGAGAGGGGGAGAGGGCACGATAACACATTCACGATACACCCAGTTCTACTTGACCGTCACTATCATCGTCGGAATACGGCCCCGTCAAAAACTAAGTCAATAAAATAAAAATATGCAATCGTTCAAGAGAGAGAAAAATTACATCTAAACATTTCAGAAATAAAATACAACAATGGAGTAGTTGCTTTGACTTGCAAGAGGCGGTCACGGACTGGTGGTGTTAGAACAGAAATCCGTGACATGGTTGGGTTCTTTGTCCTATACAACCGAAGTAACGAGAGGAGAGACGGAAAATCTGGCATGTAGTTTTATATTATTATAAGACAGAGAAAGATACGTATCTAATGATAGACAACAAAGAGGGGACGACTCTGGGAAACTACGGAGATCACGATTCCGTGAAGACGGCTCTAATGACGTCTATGGCCTTGCTTCAATTATTACACCGCGTGTGCAGTGTAGTAGGGGGAAGTAGCGATTCAAAACCCAAATTGAGGGTTTGATGCACTGGAAAAATCTTTCGTAAATTTTTCTCAACTGGTACAATATTTTCTTGTCATAAATACGTTCCATAGGTACCATTTGTCCGATAAAATCGATGTACCTAATAATACATCTTGCCGGCGCATGAGTCACCGGACACATGATTACCACCATTATTATTATATTATTTCCTGACCAGTGGAGGCGGCGGAAGGCAGGGCGACGAGAGCGACGAGCCGACAAAAACAACATTTTTGAAGAAAGTGATTATATTCGCTTCTCCGTTGGATAACGCGTACCGAGTCAAGGAACTCCGTGGGGCTATTGACCGGTTCACCTTGACTGTATGCTGGCCGCCGGGAACCAGTCTCTTTATGGCGCGAGTGTAAATGCGTTATACAAGACAACAACGCTAGTGGTCAAAGTACTCGGTCGGTTTCTACAAGAATCATTCAATCGAGTAACTAGAAGAGCACATCTCAGTGATTGGAGTAAAAAGTATAGACAAAAGGAATTAAAACGGTAGCAACGGTTTTGGCTTTGTTTCCGTCACACGAGGAGACAGGCAGTCAGACGAATTTTATTAAAATCAATCCATGACCTATACGCGTAACCAACAACCGGTTCCAAAGAACACATGCATTTGTGTTTTACTGGCAAAGACTGCAATCGTTTTTAATAAAACACCAACTATTATTTATTACATTGTCTAGCGTAAAACAGAGAGCTTACAATAATGGTTTTTCGTAGCTGACCTGCAGAAATTATTATTTTTTTCCACATCTCACTAATGCCGACATCGCCTTATGAGTTATTGTGTCGGTGGTGTTTCTTCAGCTACAAAGGAAAAATATTCTAGGAAATTGAAAATTGCTCCCACGGATTTGGCGTTAAAAAATAAATTAATATCTGCAACGTACGTCAAAAACTGTATTCGACATTATTTTCTTGGCCTTTAAATATCTTTTAGGGAGTAGGATTAATCCATTGTGAAATTTTTCTATGAAATTTTATCGTGACATCTCTATGGTTGGTTTCACAAAACTAAGAGTATTTTTATAGTAAATAATAAGGTATTATTTTATTTATAGACATATAATATAAAAATGTTTGTTATTAGAAGTAATTCATAAAAAATTATTTAGATAACTATAATCGTATAATTTTTATACTTTACATATTAATTTGTGCTGAATATCTTAATTCAAAGAAACTCATTCAGTGAACTAATATTCTAGTATAGAATTTATTATCACTTCGTTAATATCTAGTCAAATATTTCAAAACAATTAAAAGTACGCGATATCAAAAGACTCTTAACTATTAATAACGTTGATTTCACAATTGCAGTCAACTGGAAATTTAGAAGAGGACGTTTTCAACTACTCCAAGAAAACTATCTTTTATGTATATTTAACGTTGCACCAGATTGAATGTTGACTGTTCACTTATATACTCTTTTGTTGTTTAATTCGAAATCTTTATTACGCGAATAAAGATTTGAGAGCAACATTGAAACGTTCAATTAACTTTTATGTTTTTCGCGATATTGTTATTTTCCAGCCTTCCTACACCACCATCACAGTCATTTCGTACTTCAAAATACGTTATAGTTGTATGCTTATAAACAGATTAAATAACTATAATAAAAATATACAAATCTCAAAAATATTATAGTAAATATTTTTTTAAAAAGCTGAAACAAATCAACTGCATTTTACACATGTTTTATGGAGAAAAATGACAAAAAAATTATAGAAATAAATTCATAATTATTTGATAAGTTTCAACAACTTATCCTTAAATTTCTTTTATCAAACCGCTTTTCAACTGATACGCGTTTTAAAGTTCATATAATCTTGAAATATGGTTGGGTTAGTTGGAATGAGAAATTTAGATTTAATGACAAAAAATGTCACTAATATTTAAACTAGTCGCTGAACATTTTTAATACTCCAAAAAATAAATCTCAAAAAGAAATAATATACACTTATAAGAATTGCTCAAAAATATAAAATTGCTATACAATTTTTAATTTTACCAAAAAATTCACGGATTAAATTTTTTTTTTAAATAAAATTATGCGAAAGATGATAATAGAAATACGATTGAATAAGTAATAAAACTAACTACTAACATACCAGCCGTACCCAAAAGTCAAGTATACTCTAATAGGAAGGGAAGGAGGTACAATAATTTTATATATTTGCGTTCACCTTGGATCAAAAAGGAGGGGAGAGAAATCACGAGGCATCGGACGACCGTGATCTCGAGCAGATTAACGTTAGACACCCCGAAACCTCCTACCTAAACAACCACGTACGTATTTACTCCTGAAAATTCTCGCGGCCCTCAAATACAAGACAAAAAAATAACGACGTGTACTTTAGGCGTAATGACTGCTGTTGAAAATTACACATCTAACGCAAATATGATGTAAATTATTAGTTACTACGGTAAAAGACATAGAAGATGAAAAAGAAGAATAAACTAACATAAAAAAACACATAGTAAAATTAACAGCTCCGCATCGAAGCTATTATCCATTGGAGTGATGAGTTTTTGAACGATTTATTATTAAATCTCGTCGCTTGTTTTTCTAAAATAACGTATTTCTATAACATAAGTTTTAATTAAACATTAAAAGAGACAATCTAAACAGTACGACCCATAGATCTAAACAATATCTTATTATTTACAGTTACAATTGCAGTTTAAATAACAAAACTATCAATTTGAGTAATAGGTGTTCAGCAAATAACAATAAATTTAAATGGAATGGCTACTAAAATCCAAATTTAACTCGATTCAATAGAGTTTGTATTATTTCCCGATATAACTGAACACAAATAGCTTCAAATGTCCTAAACTCACCATTTCTACGTCGTCTTGCACAGCGGCTGCCGCCGGCGTGGCAATAGTTGCTGTCGGCGGTGCCGTCGTGATAACTTCACTGTAATGTTGTGGATACGTCGTGTTGGCGGTGGCCAAGTAAAGGCCGGTATGCGGTAGTTGTACCGGCTGCGGTGTCTTGGTTTGTGGTGTCACAGCTATGGCTATTTGATAATGTTGTGGCTGTTGTTGAGGTATCTGTAACTGCTGCCGAGGAGGTTGAAGCGGTGGTGCAGGCACCGGTGGATATACGTGGTGGTATGCGGCGGCGGCAGTAGTAACGGTGGCGGCGACGGGCGAGCAACAGTGCGCGCAACAAGTCCGCAGCGGAGACGGCTGTTGCTCTCCGGCTACGTGCAGTGCCCCCGGATACGTATAGCAGTACGTGATGGCTGATGGCGCTATGACCGGTGCCCACCGGGCGGCAAGTAAAACTTTACGGTGGCTAAATCTTTCTGATACGACCGTACGGTCAACCGGAAGGCAAAGACTCGTTCGAAAAACACAGCGTAAATTTAGATACTTTTATAGAGATAAAATTTAAGTTTTTTAATTAATTAATTGAATCCGATCGAGGTGCTATGAAGACGAGGTGACGAAACAGTGGCGACAACAATAAACACAAAACTAGCAGTACTTGTAGGGAAGAAAAAATGAAAATGAAAAAAGAACGAAAAAAAGACGGAAGGAGAAGTATATGTGTGTGAGTTTCCGCGTATAGCTATGTAGCGGAAAAGATCCGGTACTGATGCGGACTCTGATCGCACTGTGAACAACCGTCTGCCGCCCGAAGGGCGTCAGACAACGACAGCAGTGCTACGCATGCGTACAGCACACTGCACAGGTACGCCCATCAAAGAAGGGTAGGGGGGGCATTTCCCGTACACCGATGGATGAACTCACACACACTCATCCACCTGGTGATTCCAACTAATATTATACAGCACAAATGCGCCCCAGTAATAAATGTTAACAAAAAGCTCATAATAATAAATAAATCTCAGTAGTTTAAAAATATTCGTTGTATATATTTATTAAAATATCAGAATAGTTCTTAAAATAATATTTACATTACTAAATAAATAAATATATAAGAACAAATAGGCATTATAAGACTATATATCATGAAAAAAAAATTCAATCAATTTAATTTGATTTTCACAGCTTAAAATTTTTATAAAAAAAAAAAAAGGATAATTGAAAGTGAGGTAATTTTACACGCCTAAAATTAGATGGCTGTGGATGCTTCATCTATATATTTATATTTCATTTAAAATTGATTAATGATAAATCAATAATAATAAAAAAATACACAAAATGAAATAAATATAAGAGATATATAAGCTAGTTTGAAAACTACCTAAGGTTGTATTGCGTAATGTTCAAAGCATTTACATTTAAAAATATTTATATTTGAGAAAACGGCCAATTTGCAATCAAGCAGTTGAACTCTAATTTGATTATTTACTACTATTACTTCGAGCAGTAAAGGCTATCATATCAATAAGGTGCAAAATTGAAAATGGTACTTTCATTATTGTTACCCTTTTCTATGAATCTATAATTTAAATGTATTAAAAAAACAAATTTATGCTTAATACTTCGTTATAACCAAGATAAAATAACAGTTCTCAATTGATTTGTATGTATTTTTTATTCAACCCACAAGTTATACATAGATATATTATTTAAATTGAAAATAGAATTCAAAACTTTTTTCGTAAACGTTTGACTATTATTTTTTTTTATACCATGTTTGCACTTACTCTTATTATTTTACAATTTTTCAATGAATAATTTAACAAATAATAATCTTTTTGTACTTAATAATTAAAAATTCTTTGAAGTCTAACAAAAATTTACCTATTTATATGTCATTGTAAGGTGTTTTTTGTTCTTTAAGGTATTTTTGTAATTTTCAAACGTTATTTTTTAAGCTTTTCAACTTTCTAGTTCAATTTATTATATAATATTTCCAACTATTGTTCATGATTTCTTATCCCAGTTATAGTTTAATGAAACATAAAAATTAAAAAAAGATAATTAAATAAATAAATACATATATATATATATATATATATATATATATATACACTAATAATATAATTAACGTACTTACTAACAATACTTTTATCTATAAAAAATAATTTTATTACAACCAATTTATTTTTTTTTAAAAGTAACGACTTTCTTTCAAACTGATAAAATAAATACTAATTTATAATATATATCTACAAAACGAATTAACACGATATGCCATCTCAAAACTTTAAATCTAGTCAATATTTTACATTACTTTTTTTTACAATACATTTGTAAATTTGAGTAATCAACCAAATTAGCTGTAGTTTAAACTTTAAAAATGTAGTATGTTTAAAAGAACACTAATAGCATGTTGTTAAATACAGAGAAATGGCCAGTAAATTATTAAGAATGGTGCCATTATCCGTTCAGGAAGAATTAAGTTGTCCACCTAACAGATCAAAAGAATCATAAAACGTAAGTGAACGACTAAACAAACAGCAAAAATCTAATAACAAAAGTTATGCTAACCTAATTTTTGTGAATTTATGCTTTTTTATGGGTTTTCTTTGAGTAATATTGTAAACTAAAATACCAAAATCGATACAATTATATTTTTATGATCTTTATCAAACAATTTTACCACTTTTGCAAACTTGTGTAATTATAAGTACTAATAAAAAAAAGAGAAAGTTCACAAGTTCAATAGTAATAAATGTTAAACAATATTTTTACAGTTGGAAAATAGAAAAATATATAGAATGTTAAGTAAGGAAACAGGTTAGTTGTTACATACAAACAAAACAATAGAAATCCGTTTCCTTAATTACTGAACACTGTATATTGATTTACACTATAAAAAGTTAATTTCTTAAACTTTTTTGCTCTACATAAAAATGTAAAAAAGCAACGTGTTAGTTTTTACGAGAAGAACCACAAATTAATTTGACGATATAATTTATTGCTAAAGTAAAAATATTGTAATTATAGACAAATAATGAAAGCACGTAAAATTTACTAAGCTCTAAATTACTTTAAAATTAAACAAATACATACTTTGTATAAATATAAATAAAAAATCGCGATCTACGCCAATAAAATAAGAAACTTGGTATACATTTCTTCTAATAGAATACAACTTACTTAATTAGTAATTTTATTATTATATAATAAAAATTGATCATTGTGGTTTATATTTATTAAAATTAAAATTATACTAAATATATTAATATAAAACTAGAAAATATTAAAATATTAAAAATATTTAACACCAAAAAAGTCACGAAAATTACTAAATTATCACAGATACATAATTCGGAAATAATGTTATCAACTCTAGACACATACTTGGCGTTTGTATTTGGCGATACGAAATACGTATCCGTGATTTTTTAGTAATATTTGTGGCTATTGAGTTTAATACTTTTTATATTTTTTAGTTTTAAATTAATATTTATAATATAAATATTAATTTGCCATTAAACATTAAAATAGATAGTTAAATAAGGCAATAGATAAATTATGATCAAATAATTACATAACTAAAAATATAACAAACAATTATATACGCAGAATTCAAAATTAATTAACTCGAACTATAAATAATTTAACTATTGGTAATTATTACTACCTTACTAGAGCTTGTAAATCGATATGGTAAACATTGAAAAACAACGATAATGGTATGAAATGTCACTATTTGTACGTTATTGATTAGATGGTTAACACAGATAAACAAAATAAAAGGGGAATTGATTGGGTTCTGTGTGATTGCAAAATCAACAGTTTTTGGGCGTTAAAGTTGTACTATAGTTTTGAAAGTTTGTTATTGAATCAAATCAGTCATGAAATAAAATATTTTCAAACACATAGAAATAATAAATTGATTTTTTTTCACTAAATAAACTAGTAAGTTACATAATTTCAAAAAAAATATATTCTGTAGAAGACAACTACTCAATATGATACATTTGTGTTTCTGGTAGAATTGAAGATTGGAATAAAACTCATTAAATGCATGACTCTTATAACCTCCAATTTAAAATTGTATACGGTTACTGCATGTTAAGACCTTATCATAGAATTTGTCATCAAAAATGTATTTTATACGTTATCAACTTTTTTATTTATAAATTTTTGAATAGTAAACTCGATTTTTTGTAACCTTTTTTCATTTTACATGATACTTAAACAAGTAAGCTAATACATATTAATTTAATAAATAAGTTGACTTAATTATAGTTTACACGAAAACTCAAAAAAAAAAACTAATTTAAAAAAATCTAATATGATATCATAGTCGTATGTATTATTATATTTTACCATAAAATAAAATAAATCATTTGTTATAGATGTGATTTATGTTTATTTGAATCAATTAACTAATTATACAAAATAATTATTTGATTTTTTTAAAAGATCATAACCAATGTATTAAAAATAAACAAAGTATGTCAGTTTACTGTGAGTATGATAAAGTAACATAATAGACACAACTTTTAAAAAATTAATCAAAAATTTTTATTTTTTCTAAGGGATATTACAGTTGTTTTACTTATCATACTATTATATAAATAATTAATAAATTATTTTATTATTCTGAGTATATATGATGTATTATTCATATAAACAATCTTTTGAATAATCAATTAGGAAAAATAATTATCACTAATATAATGTAACTGTTTAAATCTACACAAACGATATTGATGATACACAGATTACTATAAGTGACGCTTATGGTAATAATAATATAATGACAATGAAATTAGCACAATCAAACTAAGAGAAAACAAACTTTGGTCAGTCTGGCCACAAATTTGATCAACTAAGTAGAATATTGGATATAGTAGAATTATATTGAGTTCAATTAGTTAATTAACACAAATCTTGGTAGAACACGAAGTTTAATGAAATACTTTAAAAGGGAATATTGCAAATACCAAAATTATACTATACGACACATTGTATAAATAGTAGTAAAAAGGACTATTTTCTGAATTTCACTACGATAAATGAAAAAATGACAACCATCATCATAAGTATACCAAACTTAGCACACTTTATTATATGTATATAAGAAGACGAATAAGTCAAAATATATGATAAAAAATGTTTTATGCATTATTTATAGATAATATAAAAATAGTATTTATTCTAAGCAACTTCGAACTACTGCAAAAGTACAGTTATAGACTTATAAATATGAGAAAAGCTAAATTACTATTAGATTATACAATAATTAATGAATACTTGATGCGAAAACCAATATTTATATAAGAGTTAAATTAGATTTATTTATTACGAGATTTATATGGATTATTAATCATTTAATTCGACAAGTTTTCAATCAAAACTCAATAAATATGAACTGAAAAAATAAAATATACAGCTTTGAACAAAGATAAAAACACACTTCTAATTAACACATTACGGAAATAATTTGATTTAAAGTTTATTAAATAGGGAGTTGACTTAAAAAATATCTATTAATTAAAAAAAGCAAGAGTAACGTAGTTTTTTGATTCATAGTAACATGTACGAAAAGATATTTGTCTACTATAAAGAATTTTTCGAGAAGTGATATTTTGAACTATTATTTTTTTAGCAGACTAACTTGATTGAAATTTATAAAGACAGAATTTAAAAAGTTTTACAAATCGAATAACTACAATCATTTTAAGGAATCATACTTCAGTTATAATAATTGAGTTTATAATGAATTTATGATTTTTTCTCATGCATGACTATTAATAATGAA